GTTGATGGTACGACGTCGATCTTCTTGAATGGCCTGCCGAATCTTCGTAACATTTTCGGGCGTTGTGCTCGAAGATGGTCGTCCAGAACGCTCGTCATCATCGACAGAGGTTCGGCCATTTTTAAAACGTGAATGCCACACAAAAGTTTGTGCACGACCCATTGCGGACTCCCCAAATGCTTGCTTTAGAATTTCATAGGTTTCCGTAGCCGTTTTGGCGAGTCTTTGGCAAAATTTGATGCACACGCCTTTCCGAAATCGCAGGAGGGTCGGTGTAATGCACTACCAAAACGCTCGTAACTAAGAAACAAATGCTAATTGGATGATGCCGGCTGGCACACTGATTCACTATGAATGTAGGCCGCACCCCCTAGCGGCAGAAGCTCGTACTACATCCGGTTCGCCCTCCATTGACACAGTCTTGAAACTTTCCGATCGCACCTCGTAGGTTACTTTGTCAGAATTGTTGAAAGTATCTCTGCCTTATTTCGATTCTTACCAATGTAAGGTGAGTCCCAACCGTGAAATGTAATCCGCCAGCAGTTGGAAGGCAGTTTCCTATAATGAAGAAACGTAAAATATGTAATTGTGATAACATTAGAAAAAATTAATATCAGGAGTTGGGGGCCATCGGCAAAGAGACTGCAATTACGTAATTCCATTATATGAAAAACGTGTTATGAGGCGTACAAATTGATTGCACTGACCTTGGAAATGTTACGCAACAGAGAAACGGACCAGTAAACTAAAACCATCATGAGAAACACTTCAGAGGAAAGTTTTTAGAAATCATTCAGATGTAATCATGTTTTTATTTTGTAATAAACCGGAGGACAAATTAGTTTGATGCTACCCTTCTCCCCCTAATAAAATTTGAATCATGGGACTGGTTTCTGGAACTTTAAATCCAGCGCGTCCACTGATCGAATTTTCTAACGTGAACTTGTACGAACAGTTTTCTACGTGTTATGTAACTGTGTATACGTCGGATTGCCGAGTAAATGTGTACTTAGTTTCTTTCTGTGCAGGAAACAGGTTCAAGTACGAATATAATATTGTAATCTGCAAACAAGTTGGCGTGTGGGTGACGGCACAATTCTAGAATATGGTTAGCTATCTCCTACTAACTGAACACACATTTTACTATGAACTGGATATCATGACTTGGAAGTATTTTCATAACTCAAACCTGAGATATATGTTTTCAGCAAAGCGTGTCCAAGACTTCCGCCACGACCTTTACGAGCAGCTACGCGCCAAAGTAGTTTTCCCCTTGGATATGCATGTTAAATTGCATAACTTTTTTTTTTTGTAGGGAATATGTTCGCGTATTGAAGGTGTTCGAGCAGATATATTTGTGTTGCACATGTTCGGCACAGTTTACCTGTTTTCCGCTGGAAATGTAGTCCCGTTTAAAATGTTATTTTCAGTACAGATGCACAATTTACAACACTCACAGGTGTTTAAATGTTTGTGTTATTATTTCCTAGTACAACAACATTGTAGTAAATTTAGTTCAAGGAAAAAAGTGAGCACTTCAAGACAAACGTTGGTTAGAAACTAGTGCAACTTCTCTCATAAAAAATTGTTTGTTCGTTAGTGCTTACCTGTGCCACACAATGTGTGCTGTAAATACACCATGGAATAAACTGAACAGTAGGTATTTAATATTCTGGAAAAGTACTGAAAATTTAATATCCAACAGTAAGCGTCTCTGAGGCAAATGTTTCTTGAGGGTGTAAGCCAGCTCAAAGATGTAGGAGTCAGAATATTGTTTGCACTCAGGACCATATATTTTCATACCATAAAAACCCAACTTGCTACCAGGTGATTAAGCAAATTACCTTTCAGACTACGTGTAACCCTGCAGGGCTCCAATTTACATCACTGCTGCTCGTTTGTCTATTGATACGTGTGGTACAGCTGG